AAAAAAAAAAAAAAAAAAGAAAAAGAAACTTCTTCCTGGGTTTTGAGCCTGTCAGCCTTTGGACTAAAAAGACACCATTGGCTCTCCTGGGTGTCCAGCTTGTCACCTCACCCTGCAGATCTTGGGACTTGTCGGTCTCTATAATCGCCCAAGCCAATTCCTTATCGTTAATCTCTTTACATAGATGTACATCTTATTGGTTCCGTTTCTCTGGAGAACCCTAATAACAACCGAAGAGTCTTATTATTAAAGGAGAATGGAGTCAGCCATTCACACAGCTAAGCCAGAGCAGTGTCATTCAGTAAAACTGCCTGTGATGATAGAAATGTTCTATATCTGGACCTTTCAATATGGTAGCCACGAGCCACATATGGCTGTTGAGTAATTTGAATAGGTAGTGAGACTGAAGAAGCGAATTATTTTATTTTAATTAATTTAAATGTATATTTAAATTGCCACATATGACTATGGGTACCATACTGGGCAGCATAAATTTAGAATATTAATTACCCCTATTGATTGTGTGTGTGTGTGTGTGTGTGTTGTGTGTGCGTGCAAAATATTTATATCTATAATATAGACAGACATATAGAGATAGAGAAGAGAGCTATTGTTTATTTTCTATCTCCCCCCACTAAAATATAAGGTCTTTTAGGGGAGAGAACTTGTCCACTTCATCCCCCAGAATAGGACCTGAAAGTAAATTGGACCCTAATAAATATTTTGTTGAATTAATTATTTCACCCACAGGTATTTATTAGTAATCTTAAGGCAACACGCTTTAAATGCCCAGAGATTTGTGTTGGTTTAATTAATTGTTTTAGAATATCAATATTTACCTTTATTAGCCCTGCATAGCTCTGAGCCATCATTCTAGTTTGTGAATTTTAGGCAAAACTTTGGCGTCTTCAAAAGTGACGTGTTTATTCTTAGCTCTGGAAAGTCTGAACTGAAAAAGCATTTCGGGAAGGAGCTGGGTGGCACGAGTACCCTGAAGTCTGCCATCTTTTCTGTTTGCCTAATATTTATTTGTGCTTTAAGACTTTATCTCATTCAAATAGCCTTCCCCAAATCCACCCCGCCACCACCAGTGGCTCACTAGGTGCCCATCTACATGGCCCCATAGCACCCAGGACCCCGGCCTCTGTGACAGCACCTAACCCCCTAGAGGGGAGTCACTGTTTCTTTTCTTCCTCACCACTGACTGGACTGAGAGTTAAGGATTCCATCTTTTTACCACTGGATCCCCAACACCAAAGGTACTGCCTGGAACACAGGACATGCTGGGGGGAAAGTCCATGAATGAAATGGAGGGAGAGAGAGAGGAAGGGTAAGAAAGAGGGACAGAGGGAGGGAGGGAGGGAGGGAGGAAGGAAGGAAGGAAGGAAGGAAGGAAGGAAGGAAGGAAGGAAGGAAGGAAGGAAGGAAAAAGAAAGGAGAGAGGGAGGGAGGGAGGGAGGGAGAGAAACCCCAAGCTTCTGGTAGTTCTCACAGTGTAAGGAAGAAGCTCTCTCCAAGTGTCTCCTAATTTCTCTGTCCTGGCAAGAAAAGGCCAGCAAAGGAGCTCCTTACCACATTCCTTGATTTCCCATGTCATCCCTATTCCCTGCCTCCCCTCCTCTGTCTCAGGGATTAAAATGCTGCCCAGGGTGCTGCTGACCACAGAGGTTCTGGAGGAGAACCCTCTGAGGCTGTGACACTGGTGGCTGGCCTCATTTTCGTCATCACTCCCAGTGGGCATGACCCAATAGGCCAGGTTTCTAGCACACATGAAGACAGAAGCATCAAGGCAGATTACCAGAACCAGTCCTCACACTATGTTCCTTGGCCATGCTGCCACCTTCTCCAAGTCTGGGCTCTAGTTGAGTCACGCACTGGAGGTGAGGAGTCAGCATCTAGTGGCCTGGGCATTGTCTCAGCAAGAGCTGGTGGCAGCCACCAGAGTGAGTGTGTGAAACACAAGGCATGTCTGAAGGAAAAGGCAAGTGAACCAGAGCTCTGGAATTTTATCTGATTCCCTTTCTTTACCATCAAAAACAAAGAGCTTACACACCTCCCAAGTCCTGACCCCGAGTCAATTCCAGCTGTCCCTAACTTGCATGACTCTGATTGGCCCACTCTGGCCAGGAATGGACAGGTTATCTGCAAAGATCCTGCAGCATCCTCGAGCTGCTCTCTCCACAAATCCAGGCATAAAGAGCTGACGCAGTGCAGTGCATTTGAAGCGTGTTTGAAAGAAGCAGAGCGTGTGCTTTGCTCTGCCAACAGAGCCTGGAGGATTTTGCTGGTAAGGGGAAGGAAAAATCAATATAGCTATTTAAAAATGTAATGGTGGTGGCTAAGCAGTGCCAGGAAGGGCATCCCAAGGAGGACAGTGAAGGCCCTGGAGGGTGCCATGCCCCAGCCTTTGGAGGAGGGGAAATGTCCAGGGAAGCAGGTTTCTAGAAAAGAGTCAAAGCTTCTGCATTCATCTTTCCCTAACTTCTGAAACACCTTCCTTGGAAGCGTTCTTACCCCTATGCAGCAGCCACATTTGCAGTAGCTCCCAGCTCTCAAGTATTTATCATTTATTGGACTTACTCAGCATTCCTGGGAAATATACTAAGCACTTTACACACAAACATAGATGCAAATATTATCTCCAGTTTACATTTAAGGAAACTCGTGCTCAGAGAGGTTAAGTAGCTTGTCCATCTTCACACAGGTAGTGAGTAGCAAAATTCAGTTTAAGTCCAGGTCAGCCTGATTTCAAAGCACACACTCTTTATGTCTTAGCATGTCACTCCAGCAAAAGACCTGAGAGGTTTTCCTGCTTCCATGAGTTGGAGTTGGTTCATGGTTTTGGAGTGTTGGGGAGGGGGACATTCCCTCTCTACCCTTTTTGAGTTCTTATGGTGAGAGAATTAATAAAATTGACATGAGACCCAAGTAACAGGAGAAAAGCCAACTTAATACATGGGTGCAGTACATCATAAATGAGGCGCTCAGAAATGATGAACCAGCCAGCTTTTTATAGTTTTTAAACAAAGAAACAATACATTTGGGAAGAAGTGACAGGACAAAGACTCTTAGGTTTACCTGAACTCATTAGTGAGGTATCTAAATAAAGTTTGGACTTGGGTAGTAAATTAGTAGAGGAGTAGCAAGATTTGTTTCTGTAAGCTTTTTGACCATGGATTCC